CGATACCCGTTTCCCCCGACCCCTCCCTATTACCCCAACCCTGTAACTACCGGAGATCTCCGATGGACCTCCAATCGCAGCCCCTGGTCAAGGGAGCATCAAAGCATCCTTGGCTCCCGGGAACCCTCCCAAGCTCCAGAATCCAATGCAGAAGGAACAGCCGAGCACCACATCCCAAGAAGCACAACCCAATACGGCTCACCTCACACTACCTCCACCGCCCACTATTCCAATCTTCTCCATCGGCCCCCCTCCTGCCCTCGCACTTGACATGGCCCCCATATCCTAACTGCTGCACACCAACTCACAACCTGGGTCAATAGCCCGAGCCAACCCAGGTCTGGCCGAAGCAGCCAAGGGCCAAGGCTTTTCCCCGCATCCGGGGGGGACTGGGGGGAATGCCTCGGCGAGCCCAATCAGACCCCCATGCTCGATGGAGAGACGTTGTGTGCAAGACAGGACGATTTACCAGATCCGGGTGTGGGCGCCGTTCCAGGTAGGGAGGCGTTTGTGTTGCGCACGTGGGACGGGGAGGCGAAAAAAAAGCCTGGAGCAGGGCTGCGCATTGGTGGGAGGGTGGTTGGGTGGTTCGAGATGCGACTGAACATGTCCAGGAATCCGAAGGTTCGACAGGGATACCCCTTTGTGTAATAAGCGCGATAACTGCCGCTGGCTGCTCCGCAAACGCGGGGAAAGGGGAGGGGAGTGGGTTGTGGAGGAGGGGAGGGATGGGCTGAGGGGCTGTGGAGAGACGCGAAACATGCTGGAGCAGACGGACAATCTTGACAAGCTGCAACAAACCAACTTCTCTCCGAATCTGGGGTACCTCTGTACCTCTAGCTTGGTTGGCCCTTTGCACGCCTGGGCGCTAATCCAGTCAGGTCGTAGTGTTGTGCTTCCCGAGCTCGGCACGGTACGGTAGTCCTTCGCCAGCCGATGCACCGAGTTCTGGCTTTCCTTGCGATTGGGGTCCCTACCGAGCGGAAAGGATGGGTGTGTGGGCGCCAGAGCCTCCGGGGATGCGCCTCAACCACCCACAGCTCTCCCGATCCGGCCATCAAGTCTGTGGCGTAATCAGCACTCTTCCATTCGATGGCCACGCAGCGGTGGATCAAGTCTAACGACTTGGCAGTTGCATCCACGGCCACAACTAGGACCCCGTCCCCTGGAACCTCGGTCTGTTATCGCTGGGCAACCGAGTCACTCTCTCAGTTGTCCACTTTGATGTTTGGGCGGTGTGGGATGTGGGATGTGGGTGAGGGGCACAGCACGATCTGCTGTCAACGACAAGCCCCCGAAAGATGGGATGGCTGGAACATACACTTTTAGACCCGAGCAAGCACAAAGATATGTATGTACACAATGGGAGGATAACTCGAAGAGCGGGAGGAACTGGCCGGAGTCTAAACAAAAACGTGGCAAGGTCACATTAGCATGGCTGTAAAGCTGGTTGATAGATACACTGTCATTCTGACGCACCTTGTTGTGGTAGGAGAACGCCCTTGCATTTGCAATTTGAGTAACACTAGCCTAACTATGAATAGAGGTTCTGGATCATCCATCACGAAGGGGCCAGGTGACTATCTCACCGGAGACCTGCAAGACAGACAGGGAGCCATTCAAACCATGGTTCTGGAACGGGAGGGTATGGGGGATTCCGGTGTCTCGGGCTCGCCCAGATGACTCTCATTGTTCGAAGATCGCGACTTGCATGGCGCCAATATCCTGGGCCTGGCTGTTGGTTTGGTCAACCTCGGTATTCGGGTCTCGACCTCGGTTGGACTTAGCCCTGACTTGGCGGTTTTTCTGGGGCAGACTTGGCTGTATCTTCGGTCCAGTAGCGGTTGATTTGAAGTCGGGAGTCCCGTGCCGGAGACGGATTCTGCGTGCGACGGGCCATGGGCGATTCTTTTTTATCAATGGCTTGGGGCAAGGAGCCGTCTAAGGAAATCTCGAAGTCCTGATCAACAACGGCGGTCCCCAGGTTGCCGTCGTAGATCTGTGACCTTCGTAGCAAAATGATCGGTTTGATCTCGCTCGGTTGAACTTGGGTTGCCGGCACTGCTCTACGAGGCTGGACAACGCTCGTACCCCGAGGTGACTCCACACTCCCATCGCTGTCGCTGCTGTCACTCTCGTCATCGCGGCCGCCAACAGACGGACTGGGCTGTACAACAGACGGACTGGGCTGTACAACAAATGGAAGGGGCTGAACCGCAGGGACTGTAGCAGAATATGCTTCGGAGCCCCTGAGGGTGTTGGCGCTGATAGAAATATTTCGGCGGTTTGGCTTTTCTTGAAGTAACGCGGCACGGGGTTTCTGAAGGCCAAGTTCTGCTACTGCGCTGTCCACCCTACGTGTCATTTCCCTCGATTCCAGCCAGCACCCCAAAATCTTGACGACGAACCCGAGTACCGATGCGCAAGCGACGACTGCCAACACAGTTATCAGTGCGATTTGAGTGCCACTCCAGCCGCTCGCTGGCTGGGCTTCTGAACTGCCGGTTTCCATCGTCTTTAAGAAGTTAAGTATGGATACTGAAGTGGCTTGGTCGTGCTGGGAAATGCCCTGTGGTTTCTGATGGTTTCTGGTAGTTTGTGCGAGAGAGGCAACCCGAAGGTAAGTTGGTCTTATCCCTTTCAGGGCCCTTATATATTTCGTTGGGATCCTGTGCTAACTGGACATAGCTTATCACGAATGGCTTTGTCTCGGGGGGTCCTGCTGCTGCCTTGCATTAGACGACCAATTCCCTTCCTGCCATCACCGGAAACAAAGGGAACTTGACGGCAGAGAAAGCATTGTGCTAGAACAACTTAAAGCGCTTCGAATCTTTTCGGCAACTCGATTGGTCGCTTATACCGCAAGGCAAATGCTATTTTCTTTTTGGCATACTCGAGTATTGGCTGACAAGCATTACCAAAACCCAGCACGGGCGGGCCTTCGATTTGGCATGATTTTCGGACTGGGAGGCGAAGTCAAGTCAAAGCGAAATGGAGAGCAGACTTGAGCGAAGTCGGGCTTGTGGTGTGCCGCGAGCGAGACCGAAGGAAGGACGTTGCAAGATCAAGCGACGGAGGTCGGGCGATGACTCCAAGTTGGAAAGAAGCGGGCAAACCTTCTCCCCGTCACAATTGCTATTCCTTGGGGGCCTCAACCGGGTGCTTTTCAAGAGGGAAAGAGATGGAAGGCAGAATGGCGGGACTTCTTTTCAATTTAATGTAAGCACTTTTCACTCGTTCCCTGTTCATTTTCTCCTTTAGTTCTTTCCTTACCTACCCCCCAATCTTCCCTTGCGCCCTTTCACTTCTCACGATTGAGCTTAAGTGAGCTCAAGCAACTGCATCACTTGATAAATGTTGCTAATACACACCGCGGATGAAGAAAAGTTCAACTATCATGCACCCGAGCACCCCAGATCTCCCCTTTCTGTCGGAACCCAGGGCAGCTCTCCCGTTCCCGCGCAATCCGCTCTTCCACACTTCCTCAAGGAGAAGCAACTTCCCTCCCGCCCGTACAACGCGAGCCTTCCAAAAACGGCACTGGTGGGCAGCAAAACCGGGTTTTCTGGCAGTTGTCTCAACCTGATACCTACCGAATGTGGAGTTTATCAACCCAAGTCGTTTTTATGCCTCTGGCTTCGTCGAGCCGCCCTGCCGCCCTGCCGCCCTGGGCCCTCTTTCCCGCCGGAAACAAGACGGCGTGGTTTTGAAGTCGCCAATTCACCCGAAATACACGGGGCGACTTGTGCTGGTGTGGCCCACCACGGGCATTTGCAGGTCTCTCAATGGTCGCTTGGACTTTACCCCGGAAAGCAACCGGCGATCTTCAAAGAACAGGGTTTGTTGTTCCACCGATTTCAGTCTTTCGACTTCGAGAAAAGGTGCACCGTTGGGAGAAAAATGGGTCTCAGCTTGCCGATCCCACGGCCGTGACCCGGGCATGGGAAAGAGAACAAGGCGATCTGCACGCCGGGATGAGACGCTCTCTCCATTTAAATATATGAATTCCTCCGTTCGGACCTCCTTCTTCCGCCTCTCCCCCACGCGCAAGCTCGTCAGTATCACGACCAGCGCGTCAGTCTCACGTCCTGGATGCGGCTCGCCCAATCCCAGACCCCAGAATGGTGATGCATGGCTGAGGTTCTGAGGGCGTGGCCGTCAAGGGGTTGGCAACAAGAACCGGGTTGAGCAAGCAGATAGTTAATATAAATAGAGCTTCCCATCCCAGCCCCCATTGTCAGCTTTGTGACGGAGACCACCGAGCAACTTACAGCATCCCCCTACATCCACAATGAAGGCCTTCACTCTCCTTGCGGCTGCCTCAGTGGCCTCGGCACACACCATCTTCGTCCAGCTCGAGGCGGATGGCACAACATACCCGGTGTCTCACAGCCATCCGGACCCCGGAACCTACGATGGCCCCATCACCGACGTCACCTCGGACGACGTTGCCTGCAACGGCGGCCCCAACCCGACGACCCCGTCTGGCGAGATCATCACCGTCACCGCCGGCACCACCGTCAAGGCCGTCTGGAGGCACACTCTCACCTCTGGCCCCGACGACGTGATGGATGCGAGCCACAAGGGCCCGACCCTGGCCTACCTCAAGAAGGTCGACGACGCTGTGTCCGACAGTGGCATCCGGCGATGGATGGTTCAAGATCCAGGAGGACGGCTACAACGGCGGCCAGTGGGGCACCAGCACCGTCATTGAGAACTCTGGTCTCCACACCATGTAAGATGCCTCACGAGTGTGCTCGACTATAGGTACTAACCATCCGCAGCGACATCCCCGCTTGCATTCCCGAGGGCGAGTACCTCCTCCGTGCCGAGATGATTGCTCTTCACAGCGCCGGTTCCCCCGGCGGTGCCCAGCTCTACGTAAGCTTCCTCCCCACTGATCATCGCCAGCCAACCCCCCCCCCCCCGCCCGCTAACATCATGACCAGATGGAATGCGCCCAGATCAAGATTGTTGGCGGCTCCGGCTCGGTGCCCTCCAACACCGTCAGCTTCCCTGGCGCGTACCCGGCCAACGACCCCGGGATCGTCGTCGACATCTACTCCATGTCGCCCTCCGACGAGTACAGCATCCCGGGCCCGGACGTCTTCTCCTGCTAGGGGTAGTCTTGGTGGCGGGAGCTATTATCCCTAACTCGCGTGTCTCTTCAAAGCTATCAGCTATTCGCGTTGCTCGTAGAGGTGGGCGGGTTGGTGTGGGTTTGGTAGTGAATTGGGTGGGTGCATAGCGGTGTATGGGAATGACCTATGATTTCGATGTACACACTGTCGATGGGACGCGTACATTATATGATACCCGAGACGGGTCCCTTTCTGGCTTCGTCAAGTTTCTTCTAGAAACAGTTATATGTGACACGCCGACCATACCGCCGAGACATGCACAATATTTGTCTTCCATTAGTTCTTCCCCAAATCCCTCCTCACCCTCCACACCTTGCTCCCCACAGCCCGCCTTTGGCTCCCGTGCAGCATTTCCACCCACGGCACCTCGCCAACCATCCTCCGCGATTTCCTGCCGCCGGCCTCCCGCTCAGCACCCACATCGCCCCCATCCCCACTCTCACTTTCATCTCCACTGTCACCCTCACCCTCACCCTCACTTTCATCTTCACTGTCATCCTCACCCCCATCATCCCCATACCCATCCCCATCCCCATCCTCACCACCCTCCAACCCCACACTCCCCACACCACCCCCCCTCCCAACCCCCCTCAGATACAAATCCTCGCCATACGCCCACGTCGGCGTATCAAACCGCCCCGCCACCAACACCAATCCCTTTGCCGCCGTCTCCCCACCGCCACCACCCCCATCGTGCAGACCCAAAACACCATCAACCACCCCCCGCGGAGTCCAGCAACTGCAGCTCTACCTCGCACGGTATCCACGCCGCGCACGAGCCCGAGGCCCGAGGAGGCGGGACTGTTCCGGGGCGAGGGTGGCGGGATCGCGGGTTGGGGAGGAGAGCGCAGGCGGGAGTCTGTTTGGGTTTGGGGTTGGTGTTCTGTTGCTTTAGGGGTGTCGAGAGCGGGTTGATGCGGGTGTTTTTTGCCAAGGGTGGAGGAGGAGGAGGACGGAGGGGGAGGGGGAGGGCGCTGGGGTGGGCATCAGCGTCAGCGTCGGTGTCGGTATCGGTATCGGGGAGGAGGTACCCCAGCGCGGCGCGGTCCTCGAGCTTGACTAGCGCGAGGATGGTGCCGTTGATGGCCTCGGCGAGGAGCTCGGGGCGCCGGCTGGTGGTCGTAGCAGAGGATGCCGAGGAACCCTCTGTCTTTCCCGGCGTAGCGCACGCGCCAGGGGCGCAGCTCGCTCAGTGGTGTTGGATCCCAGGTTGGGTAGGGTTGCTGGGTGGGCGGGTGTAGGTGGAAGTAGGACATTGTCTGCATTGTGCGGAAGTGGAGGGATGTGCGCGTGGAGGACGCCTCGCTGGGCTGGGAGGGGAGCATGGAGAAGGGGGTTGGAGGAGTGGTGGCCGTGCAAGCCTCTTGGAGGCTGTTAACCGTTTCTTCGGGGCCATCTTGTGACATGTAGATGACTTCGGTCGGGCGGACGGCCATGATTAGCTCACTTAGGATATCAAGGCCGGTGCCTTGGACCCAGCCTGGTGTGTTGACCACCAGCGGTGGTTTGGGATCCGAGTGTCGTTGGTAGTGCATGAGGAGGTCGAGAACGCACTCGATGTAGTGGGCCGGGTCGAGGCCCGGTGTGACGGATGCGATGGCGTGGGCCCGAAGTTGGCCTTCTGCCGGTGTGAGGGTGGGATGGCAGAAAGGCGGAGACAAATTTGGTATAGTGATATTAAACAGGGAGATGACTCCAGGAGGAGAATACTCCGGCTGCCCCAGGGTTTATGTCGAGGACCATCACGCTCGACCAGGGCCTGTTCTTGGAGCCAGCCCGGTCGGTGATGAAGCGGTTCGTCAGGAGTCGCCCAAACGTTGACTTCCCCGATGACTTTGGCCCACACAGAAACATCACAGGAGTCCCTTTCCGTTTCACTGCGGCCAGCCCCGAGAGTTTCTTGTTCCACTGCGCCGGAGAGACCAGCTCCTGCAGGACGACCCTCTTAGGGACATCCTGGGAAGTGTATATCTGCTTAGGTTAGCCGGTGGATGGGGTCAAAGCTGGGTGGGCTACACAAACAATTTGGAAGGTCGTAGCGTGGTTGGACTTGGGACTTTGAGCTCGTTGCTTGCGGACTCTCATTCCAGAGTTTGGCAAAGGCAGGATTCAGGGCTGCCAATTGCCTCAGCCCTTTGGCGGCAGGGTGGGGTTGAAGCTCGAGGACTGTATCATCTGCGGTTCGGAGAACGGCCACGGCATGGCAATGGGGAGCATGAACCCACTGGACGGGGTCGGACGAGGTCAAGATGGCACCGGCGAACGTAGCTTCGCCCTCGCGGACCTTGATGCCGAAACTCCCAAGAACGACTAACCGCTATGTTTTGTTAGCACCGAGACTACATAGGGGGGGGGGGGGGGGGAATCGCGCCCCTTACCTCTCCTTCAGAGGCAACTAGAACAATACGGCCGCCGGGTTTTCGTTGGAGATTCTTCTTGTTGGGCTTGAAGGATGAGTGGTGCCTGACGAGTATCCCGTTGGACTCAAGGCCGGGGGTGGAAGGGCTGGGTTGAATCAGTACCGCAAAGTGAAGACGACGATGAGTTAACGTCAACACCAGGGAGATGTGCACCTACCCTGAACCCGCTGCCCCGATTTCGAGACCTTGTGCTTGCTTCGCATCGGCCACGACCGGTGCCTCTGGGGACTGGCGCTTGGTCCGGCGACCTACGACAGACCGAGCCGAGGGGGTCTCACTCTTTCTCAACTGGGCAGACCGGGGATTTTCTAGCACTGGCTCCGGGGTAGCCTTCTTCTCAACATTGTTGTTTTTCGCAACTGCCGTCGTTGCCCATAATTGTTGCCGCGCTGCAAACGCGCTCATCGCTGGATCGCGTCAGCATGGCTGCAACAATTTATTGAATTGAATTAGTTTTTGAGGATTTCCATACCAGTTGGCGTAGAACTGCCGCTGCTACCGTTGCCGCCATCCAACTTCCTTCTTTTGTTTGTAGCCATTTCTTTTCCTTCTCCAAACAACAACAATTTGAGCAACCAACTTCAACTTCTTCCTCGCTTTCTCCGACTTCCAACCCCAAACCCAATTCTTCTCGAATCGTTTATTTCGCATCCACCGACTTCTGGCGGCGACTTCAATTCACAAACCACCTCAAACTTCAGTCAAGATTCAGCTCCTACGATCAAAGTCGCCCTTGCGCGACCTGACCAACAGATTCGGTCGAGCTTTCTTTCCTTCCAAAGGTTTGTGGTTCAATCGAAACTTTTTCCCTTTGTCCCAACTCCCCTGCAACCAATCATCTCCCACAGTAGCCGTTGTTGCAGCGACCCCACCAACCCCCACCTTCACAAGCTGGGCTGTTGCAGGGGTCATGCAGCAGGGAGAAGCTTATCGTGAATTTTTTTGGAGGCCGGAAAAAAAACGGCAGGAAACAAACAGCGATCACCTTCAATTCTGTCGCTTCTTGCCCGTTCTTGTTGTTTTTACTTCCTTCCACCCCAACGTCTCGCAATTCGAACTTTGTCTTTTTGCGATTAACCGCTAAAATCAATCCTCATGGCAGGGCCGCGCGCGCCTATCGGCACTCTCTCGCAGCACGCCGCCACTGCTGCGGGCCTCGTGCGCGGTATGGTTCCCAAGATGTTCACTCGAACCGACCCAAAGCGCACTCGCAATGCCGATAAGCCTGTGGAGAGCGAGAGCGAGAGCGACAGTGACAGCGACAGCGACAGCTCCAGTGGCAGCGATACCGAGACGAAACGTGACACCAAGAGCTGGGGAGAAACAATGAAAGCGAAGAAGTTGCGTCGACGCCAATCAACACAGGCAAACTAGCCAAGGCCGGATCCAACCTTGCTGCATCGCCCAAAGCGAAGGGCTCGAACTCTGCTACCAAATCTGCCACTCCTAAGAAACGTCCAGGACTCTGAGTCGTCCGCAAGCGAGAGCAGCAGCGAGGACGATGAGGACGACAAGATGGCCGTCGATTCCGAGCCAGACTCAAAATCCGAGAAGAAAACCATAAAAAGCAAGAGTGCGCAAGTAAAGCTTAAGGCAGAGGACACGAGTTCCGACGCCGAGAGCGCGTCCAGCGATGAAGAGTCCGACGGCGATTCTGCGCCTGCGGTTAAGCCAGATCGCAAGGCCGATTCCGCGCCGGTGAAAACCTCTTCCTCAGATGAAGAGTCAGCCTCTGAGAGCGAGGCTGAAAGTGAGAGTGAGGACGAGAGCCAGGATGATAGCGAGGATGAACCTGAGCCAGCGCAGAGGTCCAAATCGAAGTCGGCGCCGGGCCCCAAATCTTCTACGACTGTCAACGGGAACACGAAGGGCAAGGAGGTAGCTAGCCGCTCTGAGAATACGAGCGACGCGGAGTCAGCCGATACGGAGCAGTCCGCCTCGGACTCCGAGGATGAGGATATGACCGAATCCACCGCCGTTGAGAAGCTGAGTGGAAAGACCACAGTGTCAGTATTCCCAGCTCCCCCCCCCCCCCCCCCTCCCCGAGAAATCAAGCGCTAACCATTTTGCAGCCCACCGCCCCGTGAAATTGTTACGCAGGGGTTCCATCTTCGCAAAGCAAAGGAGAATGTCGATGCCGCTGCGGTTGCCCGTGCCTTCAAGAAAGCAAAGGCAGAAAGGCAAACAGATTTGGTACTTCACGACTCCAAAGTCTGTGCCTATCGAAGTTATCCAGAAACACGCTATTCCCCTGGACAAGGTTCCATGCTGGAAAGGGCCATTTTTGCTCATGAGGGGAGCGAGTACACCGGCCAGTTTGAAGAGCCGGTAAACCACGCCATCAAGGTCCTCATCCCTGGAAAGACAGGGACTAGTTATGAAGCTCGTATGTTGAGTGAAACGTGTTTAACAAGCTGTTTACTGACCCTCTGAACAGACAGCCAATCGGTCGATCGCGTTCTGCACATCACTCGTGTGACACGGTTCCGGGGAGGAGGGCGGAAGCGAGCCTGCCTTGGCCGCCGCATCGACTGCCGCCGTCGCCAAAGCCTCCTCGGCCTCAGCCGAAGAACCTGAAGGCTCGTTATCAACCATTCGGTGTCGCTAAGTGGTGGCGCCGGCACAATTGGAATGGGACGCATCGCGACGATGACGATGTTGAGATGACCCAGGGCACTCTCCGCTAAACGCCAAATCCGGCACGCCGAAAAAGGCCGCCAAGAAGCGCAAGCACGGCGATAGTCGAGAAGGGGAACGCCAACCAACAGGACATCGCGTCCACGCCCGTCAAGAAGTCCAAAAAGGTTCGGGTCGAGAGCGCCAGCATCGAGCAAGTCGATCCATCTCCGGCCGAGTCTGAACCGTCTCCCGTTAAGAAATCGAAGGGCAAAGAAAAGTCCAAGAAGAACGCCTCATCCTCGGCCGAGGAATCGAGCGAGGTCAAGAAATTTCCAAAGGTCACGCCCATTTTACCTCCTGTTGTTCCCGGCGTGAAGAGTCCTTAGGCAGGCTCTTCATCTCAGGACACCACCCAGCGGAACATCCGCGCGGCGAGCGTCCCTCCCGGCTACCAGTCCATGTCGGAGATGCGTAAGGCGACCGAGGCCGCGCAGGCTATGCCGCCTAACACCCCGACCAAGACACGGATCGCCTCCTTGACCCCGGTCCCCATTCCAGGTGTTTACACGCCTCGAAAAGTGATTCCTTCGCAACCTTGGACTGCGAAGGGCCCATCCAGCAACCTGGCGCCGCCCAACGGCACCCCGAATGGCACACGCTACGGCACCCCGTCAGCTTCTTCCCAGCCCCCCAAAGGCATCTTGAAGACGCCCGACCGCGAGCAATCTTCTGGAGGAAAGGACACCCACTCGGGTAGCCAGGGCAAGTCCAAGAAGAAAATTGCGAAGAAGAACCGAATGCCTCGTATTTCCTGGCAGGGGGGTACCAAGTGTGGTCATGGCTCCTATTGAGGAGTATACATCAACCTCGAAATCCGTCGGGGGGGGTTCCGTGGCCATGGAGTTTTCATCATCAATTTCCGCCTTTGTTCACGGGATACGTTCCACTGGGCCACGTACATGCTCGATCTTTGCGCAACACGGGTCACCGTGGTTTTTTGCATGCGAAGTGACCCGACAAGGCTTTCTTTTGCTCATTTCTCTTTGCTATCTTTGTAACCACACGAGTTTTGTACGATTACCTCTCTCGGATATCTTGGGCGTTTTAGGAGATACCTGGTCTATATGCAGGCCGATCTGGATGGCCATTCCGATGATGATATCTTGGAAGGAAGGTGTCGGCTGGGTCAATCGCCCGCATTGACCGAGATGGGGAGATGGAATGATTCGCTTCAAGCACGAATCGAAACCCAATATTGGAGGCTAGGCCGGATGCCCGAGTCTCGCTACCTACATACATACCTAGCTTACCTTGCGGCAGTAATAAACATGCTTTGGAACTCGTGGTGGTAGAGTCATATGTTCTGGATGTTGGCGTTAACTAACAATAACTCGCCGAGTCTCAAAAAGGGGCCGCTTCAATGCGCGTTTTCAACTTCGGCCTAGGAACATCGTGTCCCATCCCGTCCCCGTTCCCGTCCCCGTTCCCATTCCCAAACCCGCCTCCGCCCCCGTCTCCGGTTTTGCCCTCTCCCATACTATTTAATCCCCGCGACTCATCTCACCAACAATGTTCGAGACAAAAACCCATTTTGGTATCCCGGATCACATCACATGACAACCAGCACCGGGTCGGAACCTCACGAACCCATCATCACCCACCCACGTTCCCACGTGTCCACACGGCCGATGGTGTGCGGCTGAACCCCAAGAAACCCACCTTTTTTTTCTGCTTTTATCCTCCAAACCGCCGACCCCCCCTGCCTGCAGCCAACGGCAATCTAACTCAACCTTCCCACACCCACCCCGGCAGTGAGATTGAGGCTGAGCCAGACTTCGCGCAGGTCGCCTTTTCCAAACAAGGGCGTTTTCTTAATTCAACGACATCTCCTTCCTTCCTTGTTAGGGTACGAGGAGACAGGACCGAAACTTGACCGACGACGACGATAGCCACGCAGAATAAGCATCAGGTTTTGCAAATCCAATACAGCTTGTCTATTAGTATTTATTCATTTCGTCCTAGCCCACCAACCCATCAACCCTCACTCAACACCCCCGACCTCCAGTGGGTATCAACCTCGCCCGTCAACACCACAAAACCAGCCGCCCCAAGCCCGCGGTGGCACACAACCCAAGGTGTGGTTGGTACTTCCTCTTTTCTCTCATCATCCCCTTCCTTCCATCACCGACCGCCGTTAACCCCCCACACTCCCACCACACATGCACCGCATCCAACGCATTATCATTACCCACTCTCCGTCTCCCGCCCACTCCGTCGTCCTTCTACCCCCCCATAACCACACCACCCTTCTTCTGTACCAGGGGAGGAGGAAACAGACGAGGTGAGAGAGAAGACAAGAAAAAGGGAAGAAAAGAAAAGAGGATATTAAAAATAACCCATCCACTTCGATCCAGCCAACCAACCCAGCGCGACGCAACGATCTAGACCAACCCACCCCGATCCAACCGCTCAATCCTCCGTCCGCCACCTCTCTCCTCCCCGACGCCGCCCTCCCCATCCCCGAAAAAAAAAAAAAAAAAACCACCGCAACCCCCCCATGCGATACCAAGCCTCCCTGATGCCCCCGATGCCCATGCCACGCCATGCAAAACGACAAAAAGACACCCCCCATCGCCCCAAACCGGGTGGGAGGGTGTAGTAGGTATAAACGTGCGTGTGAAGAAGAAAAAAAGTGTATGGGTAAGTGTGTAACGACTGTGAACGCGCGCGACGCCATGCAAATGCCCCTGGTATCTATCTATCCATTCCATTCCATTCCATCAAGCGAACGAGAGAGGGGGTATAAATGCATTTGCCGATCCATTTCCGTTTCCGATTCCGTTGGTGAGACTGAACCGAGCGAAAAGGCTGGTTCGGTGAAATGTGGTGAGACTCCTGGGAGGCTCCTGGGAGAGGGGAGGAGTGCCGGTCGGCTGACGAGCTGAGCAGGTTATTCGAGAGGGAAAAGGGTTGGCGGGTTGTTGTGGTTTGGAAGAGTGCTTCTAGGATTTGGTTCATTCGAACCTCGACTCGACTCGACGGCGCATGCCCAGAGCCTGCCGCGCATGCAGCCAACCCAGCAAGACGAGACGAGCTCAGCAGTAGCAGGAGCAGTGACCGACAGCAAGCCCGCTAAACAGCTCAGCGCCCGGCAAACGACTCGCCGCCCTCGCCCTCCTTCGCCGGTCCGAACCGCGCCTTGGTCCAGACGTCGTAGTGATCATCGCTCGGGGTGGTGGGGCTCAGGATGCCGGGGGTCGAACTGCTGCTGCCGCAGAGGGTGTCGCCACGGCTCATGGAGTCGAAGCTCGAGCTGCTGCCGAGCGTCCACTCGTCACTATCGCCGGTGCCCGGGCGCCGCAGCAGCCCGAGGCCGTATCCGAGGCCGTGCTCCTCGTCGAGGGAGCGGGGGCGGTCGCCGTGCTCGACGTACTCGTACTCCCAGCGGGTCGACTTGTCGAGCTGCGGGCGCGGGAGGAATTTGGTGCGCGCGATATAGTAGGCGACCGCGGCGAAGATTCCGCCGCCTACGAGGTCAATGGCGTAGTGGTGGTTGAGGTACATGGTGGACCACGAGATCCAGACGGCGTAGAAGATGAAAAAGGGCCGGAAGCGCGGGAAGCAGTACTGCATGAAGAGCGCCTCGAGGATGGCGTCGGCGGCGTGGAGGCTGGGGAAGGCACCGAAGGGCACGGGAGCGGTGGTGAAACTCGTCGTGTACATGTCGACACCAAACAGCTCGTCGATACGGCGCAGGCCTGCGGGAGACCCCTCCATGCCGTAGTGCGCCGGCTCCAAGCCGTGAAGCTTCTCATACCAGGGCGGTGTGCAGGGAAAGACGAGCTGGATGGTGACGCCGAGCATCGACATGTAGCCAAAGGCGCGGGCGAAGACCGGGGTGGTTCCCGGGGCGGCAAAAAGGAACATGAAGATGCTGCAGATCAGGGGTAGCGCAAAGTGGCCGAGGCCGTAGGGTACCCAGGCGATGACATCGAGGACGGCGTGGGTGTGGGCCGAGAGGATGTTGGAAAGATTTGCGCCGTACATAACGTTTTCGAGCGCAGGGAGCACTTTCACCCAGATATGCGGCCGATATTCAGCACCGATAAATCTATGGATCCCAAGAGTCAGCAACCTGGAATCGGCTCCTGGCCCTCGAGAGTTCATGTGCGGAACGCCTATGCTCGCTCCGAGCACATCCCGGGACACCACCAACTTACCGGCTCGCGAAGAAATAAAGCAGATACGTCCATATCGGCAATGATGGCAGAAAGAACTGCTGTGTAGCCGGCATCAGGAGCAGCAACCCGAGCACGACCAGCACCCCAGTCTTAATAAACGGCGCCGACGGTAGGATCGCCAGCGAAAAAAGAATAAACCCAAACGTCATGGGGTGTTGCAAGTCCCAAATAGTCCACCTCCTCGAGCGCAACGCCCTCATCGACTTCAACACATCAAACGACCTCTGCAGTTTTGTGATGTCATCGGGTTGGTTATGGCTTTTGGATCCTCGTAGCTGCAGGCGCAACTTCCGGGCGGAGCGGTACTTGTGTGGTATCGGGTTCAGCTGGGCTAATGTGCCGGGCCATCTTAGAGGCAACAGTTTCGGCTTCATCGCCGGCGCTTGGGTAATCATGGCGGGGAATTCTTGAACGCCCTCCATGGTGGTGGACGACATCGGAAAGACAGAAAAGAGGATCGATTATAGGTAAGTAAAGAGCTCCTTGTTTCTGCTGCGAACCCCAAACACCGTCCTTCGAATGGCAAGAGTTTGGCTTTCCAGTTTCGGAGGCAAGGTAAGGGAGAAGGGAATGGAGGATGGCGAGAATCGAGGGATGTCGGACTTCGCTCGTTATTGTCGCTGCATAGGGATGCTTCGAATTACGGGCTTCTACTAGTGGCTAGGCCAGCTACCCGGGTCGCCCAAGGGAGGGGATCGGTGTTGACAGGTTCGAGGAGAAGGGGGATGAACGGGTTGGCGGCGGCGGCGGTGGTGGTTGGGAGAGAGAGAGAGAGGCACAAAAGGTCATGACGGTGTACTGCGGGCGGCGGACGGGATGGGGGGTTGGCGCGGGCGGGCGGGTGTCGGCTTTCATATGCAGCGAGGCGCTAAGAAAAGCGAGCAGAGAGACTGGCAAAGACTGGGCCACCGAAACGCCAAGGCCCCCCAATGTCGGTGCAAGTCTTGGGAATGCCCGCCTGCTGGGTGCGCGGGAATCATGGCTTGTCCGAGCCAACCGGAAGGTGGGGCTTGCATTTCAAAGACCTTGGAATCCCATCGTTGCTGCTTGCGGCAGCCCACGGAGCCACGGAAAGCAGATTCTCGGAATATTACTAAGCTCGCCGTTTCCATCGCTATCGCTGCCTTGACATTCGTTTTATGATTCATGTGCTATTACAACATGAAATCGAAACTGTCGTACACGAGCACTCGTGGAATCTGGGAGCTCGCCAGCAACGTTCCGCCACCTCATCCATCAGTCCCATCGCAGAAGGAAAAATACCGATTCGACTTGCCAAAGCTGATTGAGATCTCCTGACGAATCACATCCGCGGAACGGTGCGGAGCCTTTCCACTCGCGGACTCTCGGCATTGCGAGGTCTCAATCTTTGTCGCGTGACGTGTAGGGGTACCGCTGACCTCTCATCGGGCTCTCATCCGTTGCGAGGATATGGAATGTGTCTTCTGCCAGCGCCACGAGCTAAAAGCGGAACATGATGGACGGGGTTTGCGAATGGCCGGTCTACAAATCCACCAAATTCACGACAGGATTACTTGGCTCTTGCCGAAATCCGGCTGCCCCGTTTCGTGTGCAGTTTTTCTCAATCCCGGAGTTTAGGTACCGTTACTTTAAACCCGCCAAGCCCTCCAGGACGCTCGCCCAGGATGGAGGCACGGAAAGCCCCTGCTGGCCTCCCGGCCTTCCAGTCAGTCCATGGCGTCAACGGCAGACCGCCCACCAATCCAATCATGGGTTTCACACAAATGCTCCCGATCCGTGCTATCCGAGAGGCCTGTGCTCGGGTCCCTCGCATCGTGACCTGAGTGGCTGGATTCGGTATCACCAGCCAGCCCTGTTCGAGCTTTTGATGAAATGGCGGTTGTTCGTTTCGAAAGAATGCCCAACCACTGCGGCCAAATGCCGTGGGATTGAGATGGTGAAATTCCCCGTACCAAGTACGAAATACGACTGCGGTTTCCGCGTATTACGACGTAACTGCTCGGCCGCGTGAAAAAGAGGCCCGCTGAATGGGCGGGTGCCACTGCTGTGCCATGTTGCTGAGACACGCTTTGCGAGCTTGACGCCCAACCTGGAATGCTCCGGTGTTGGCATCAAGCGAGCTCTGCCATTGTTGTTGTCGTTGCCTCTTCCGGGTTGGGGTCGCCTAGCACAGTTTTTGCAACGGCGATCCGGCTGGCTCTGCGAATGATCGACCGGGGGATCGAATTCGATAAACGCCGAAAACCCCGTGACAATGGGACTAACTATTGTGGAAGTTCCTCTGCAGGTGTGTCAGCACACAGCTAGAGCGCAGCATACTGCCACTCCGAGCGAAGCTATCTCGACAATTGAAACCCCCCATGGTCTGTGGTGTGATGGCTGAGGGGGGTACCTAAATCCTTCCGTTACCCTATTTAGATAGAGGATTGCAACCTCTTAGCTATCCCTAAAGTTCCTGAAGCACGTCGGCTATTGTAGTGGGGTGGTATCAAACCCCCTTGGTTCCAACAGGCGCGTGTCGTGGTCAGTGTCGTGTGTCCTGTCGAGTCTGGGCCCAACCGCCTGCAGGAAACATGCCAGTGATCGTCTGCTGATCACAGAAGGTTGAACTTGATCCGCACGGGCCAATCGACACCTTTCCCAACGTTTGAATCAGAAATCACACACAAAAAAAGCCCACGACTCTAATAAGGACAGCACATGACTGATGTTTTGTTAGCTCCAACAGCCGCCCAATCAGCCAGGCAAAGGCGCATCCGCGATGGTAGCGGGTCCATAGAGCCAAGATGCTTGGTAACTGCCTGTTCCTGGTGGATTCAAGCAGATCCAGCGGATTGTTGAGGCCTAATTCTCGCCAACCATTGGGAACCCTGAAATCCGAAAACTCTGCCTTTTATTAACAGCTTCCTTTTTTTTTTTTTTTTCGCTTGTTTTAGTAATGGATTGGTCCCCTTGTTTCCTCGCCCAACACCAGGGTCCAGGTTCTCGGGAGTTTTATGCTACTCCTCACATACTTCGTACAGTTCGTTCTTCTCGAACTGGAAGGTTCGGCTTCAGATGTGTAAGCTGGCAAGGTATGCAGAAGTGGATGCACCCGAACAGCCATGCAGCCTCGTGCATCGCAGATCACGGGCGAAAAGTGACGTTCCTCCTCCTGACTCCTAAGTGACCACGGGTAATTCAAAGCTCCGTCCAAAGGAGCCCAAGCCTCGACTTGGCACAACCAACTGCCCAGAAGCCTCGAAAAATACCAAGTAAATACCAACCAACTAGCGTCCCCGCCATCCTTATGCTGCGCGCGATTTGATCCTCCAAGCAAACGGGGGGCCGTTGGTTCATCTCCGAGAGCGCCGCGTTTGCCGGGCGGCTGCCTCGCTTGCTTCCTTGCTTCCCCCACAACAAAAGATCGCAGCGTCGGTCCTCGGGGCTTCGGTCGGGCGACGGGTCTTTTGTGAACCCCGCCGAGAAAGTTACCGCGTGGCGCTAGACTTTGTCGGGCTAGACCGCCCATTCGGATCTTGCCGGGTTAGATCGGCCCACCGCCAATCGCTTTTCAGGGTCTGACAAAGCGCATGCATACGTGTGATACGGTGATACGGACGTTGAGGGTTTGGATGTGATGGGCAAAGGCGGTGGAAGAAGCAGTGCTTCGAGCTCGGAGGTGCTTGAAAGTTGGTTGGTGTAATATTATTATTTCTCTTATCACGCTAGGTACTAAGTACATGCGGTCCCTCAGCGATTAACTCGGTAGGAAAAACCATGCCTAAGCTGGATGAAAACCTCCGCACCTCCGCTGCGGCCTTGCCGCTACCCCGTGGATCCATCTCCTCGAAAGGGCTCACCCACCTTCCGAGGTCAAAGTAACGAAATAGATAAAATGAGTCGTAACCTCTGTTCCATCGATGCCCTTCTGCTACTCCGCTTCGGCCCCGCCGCGGGCCTCTTCGTTGTTCTCATTTTCCAGCTCTACCGCCAGCCGGAACTCGTTCAGCCTCCCCAGTCCAAGCACCCACCCCACCACTATGGCAGCCTTCTCCACGTTGGTTGGTGTAATAGATGTACCTAGTCTGTACAGAATAGAATTAGGCTTCTCGTTGCCCTAAACTCCGTTACCGGGGATAATGCAATGCGTCTGACACATGGTTGGAATTCATTTCGGCCGAAGTTGATCAGCACATCAGCAACCCAACACATCAGACCAAACAAAAGCCCGAGATGCCGTGCCCCCGTGCCTGGAAAAGCATAAGCTGACCACAACCGTGTTGGGCGATATGTTACCGAATCCTGAAAGATGATGATGTGACGGGAGACATTGTCGCAAGAAAACAACGTATATCGAAGGCACAGTCGTCCTCGGGCTAGCCATCAAACCAACATTACCCTGTCATCTCGCATACGGTATCTCGGACAGAATCCAGGCAGAAGAAAAACGACAACATGCTGCGTCTTAAAAAAAAAAAAAAACATAGGAGAAATAAGGAAAGAGAGAAAGGAAAAAAAAGGAAGACAGGTCCCCTCTAAGCAAGCCCAGACATCGTGATATATGGTTCCGAACTACGCGACGCAAGCACAAACAAAGAAGCATAAGAGAAGCCGAACCAACGTGGATTGTTTTCCTCCGGTATAAGCGTGCGTGACCAAAAAAAGAAAAAGGAGGGAAGAAAAAAAAAAACCGGCACGATCCCAGATCGTGACCTCGCTGCTCTCAAGATATCTCAAAACAAAGAAACCGAAGCTCGGGGCGCCATGCCATTCATTCATCAACTCACCCTCCCCAACCAACTCCACCTTCAACCCACAACCACCTCGTCTAACCAAGCAACCAAACATCACCAACTGAAACCAAGCCAGCCATATCCCCCCCCCAACACCCTTATAGTTTATAAACCCTTCTTGCCCAAGTCCCCACAGTCCTGGCAAGGGGCTTTCCAGCCTTGTCATTTTCCCCTTTTCCCTGTCGTTTTTCGCTTTCTCGGCGGCTCGCATCGCCGTTTCTCGATAGGCTGTCTCAGGCTTGTTGATTGAATGTTGCTCGAGTCCGATATGGAATAGTTATAAGAAGCTAAAATAGTTGACAGCCCCACTTACGTTATCTCCTAACCTGGAAGGTATGTAATGTGATGTGCCAATGCACCTCTACGCCGCGCACTGATCGACATGGCAGCAAATGGGGAGAGAGACCCTTTGCGGCCGAGCTTTTCCCGCCCACCCGACGGCACAACGGGGACTAGACCGAGCGGCTCGGGGGACAGAAAATGGAGAAATGGAGCCGTCCCCATCCTCCGCACCGTGGCACGACTGACTGGCACATGCATGGAAATCTAGGGTAGGGGTTTGTCTCGAACGAGTCCCTTTGGTTGATCAAAAGGCTCATGTTCGCTTAATCAGATGATTGATGTCTTGAAGTGAACTGACTACAATTGGGTTTTTACAGTTTCGAAACCACCAAGCGGATAACTTTATGACGTCAGATCAAAACTAAGAGCGCAAAACTGAACGTGGCCATCAATATTCAAGTTCAAACCCAGGG